GCTCCCAGTGCTGTGTCATCCTCCTCCCTCACCCGGGCTAGCACAGGCCCAGACCCTGTGCCCCTCAATCCCCTCCTCCACGGAGGGGTGACTCCCAAGCAGCCGCCCCCCAGCCCGGCACCAGCTGTGCCTGCCGGCCAACAGAGCCTGTGCTCTTGCAAGACTTTCTTGTGGTTCTCTTTGTCTTTTCATCCTGTCAGCGAACGGATTTGCACACAAAGGGACTTAATTAAGAACTGTCCCCAGAAGCTGTCAGCTCCCAGGCCCAGGAAGGAGACGAGTCCCCCAGCACCGCAGAGGCACAGGTAGCTGTCAGGCCCACGGCTCTCTCCTCGTGACTAAGCTCGGGCAGGGGCTCACTGAGGAGGGGTGAGGAGGGGAGGGGGGTGAGCAGGGGTGAGGCAAGCGTGCTGGCCAACAGCTGTGAAGGGCATGAGGAGGGCTCCCCAGGGCGGGGCTCCAGGCCTGGTCAGCTCCTGGGGACACAGGTGCTGAGGGAGCAGCCAGACCACGGGCAGCCAAGCGCTCGGCCTGCTGCTGCCACGGAATCCGTGGTTGGAGCCCAGCCCCCAATGGCAGGGCATTTGCAGGTGGGGCCCTGGGAGAGCATCAGAGAGGATTGGAGGCAGGTGAGGTCATGAGGGTGGGCCCTCCGGCTGGGATCGCGCCCGCGTAGGAAGAGGGAGCAGCTGCAGATCCCTCTGCTTTCTCTCCACCATGGGGGGACCAGACACAAGGGAAGGCGTCCTCTCAGAACCCCACTCGGGGAGAGCATCAGAGACAATTAGAGGCAGGTGAGGTCATGAGGGTGGGCCTCCGGCTGGGATCGCGCCGCGTAGGAAGAGGGAGCGGCTGCAGATCTCTCTGCTTTCTCTCCACCATGGGGAGACCAGACACAAGGGAAGGCGTCCTCTCAGAACCCCACCGGCCGGCACCGTGATCCCTGCGGCGGGGAAGGTAAATGTCTGTGGTTCGGGCCTCTCCTGGCCGTTAGGGCAGCTCGCGCTGACTGAGACGCCACCTGCACCCGTATTTTTGCCGTAGAATCAGATGTGTGCCCCCCGCCCCCACCCTGGCCTGAGGCACACAGAGCAGGACAGCGGGGAGGAGTTTGGGGAGCACCCAGGGGCCACAGGCAGCACTCAGCCCGGCTCAGCTCCACCTGGACACTGGCCCCGAGCAGGGAGGGGCGTCTCCTCCCCTCCCCCTCCACCTGGGAAGCCGGGCCGTGGTGAGGTCTTGGTGGAGTTACTTTAATAGATGCTGTTCTCACTCATGGATCCCTAAGCTAATTCCCCAACAGAAGGGATGCGACGTCAACAGGGCACACTTATCTGGAGCAGACTGGGGAGCAGACTGGGGGGCGGGGGGAGACAAGCTCCTCATGTTAAAAAGGGGGAAGATCTAAACCCATTTGTTTTAGATTTAGAATAAAGGGTCGTTAGAGATAGGCAATACTTGGGAGAAAGAAAAGCGCTTGATTTTCACCGAATAGGTAAATAATCAAAATTAAATGTCTTCCAAAGAGTAGACTTTTAAACGAGGGGTGTGAGGGTGGCCTACGAGGCTGGGATCTCTCGGGGGGGTCACAAAGTCAAGTTCTTTCGGGGACTCAACAAATAAGATGGGACAGTGAACTCGGTGCCGTAATAGAGAGCAGTGGGGACTGCGGCAAGCCAGAAACTAACAAGACATCGCATCTGAAATGCACACCTCTTCCTAACACACACACACACACACACACAGAGACACACACACACGCACAGGCACAGACACAGACACACACAGACAGACACACAGACACACAGACACACACAGACACACACACACAGACACACACACAGAGACACACAGACAGAGACACACAGACAGACACACACACACGCACACACGCACAGACACACAGACAGACACACACACAGACACAGAGACACACACAGACAGAGACACACAGACAGACACAGACACACACACACAGAGACACACAGACACACACACAGACACACAGACACAGACACACACAGACACACACACACAGACACACACAGACACACACAGACAGACAGACAGACACACA